ACTACAATCAAAGGATTCAATATTGATCATCCATCCAAACCACTCTACATTTACCGTTGATCTTCCTCCTATTTATTGGTCATGCTACTCTTGGAAATCTATATATAGACCCCTTCTTCTTCGTGAAAAGGGACCCCGTAGGCTAAGGAAAAAAGATAGATATTGGAGATTGCTCTTGCCTCCTCGACCACCGCCCGGATTTCCACCGGACCACTGGGACCACCACATGATGTCCGAACTTCCGTCGTACCACCGCCCAACGCCAGACTTCTATCAGGATCACCGCCCGAAGACGGAGTTCTGTCGAACCATCGTCTGACACCAGACTTTAGTTAGGCCCACTGCCTGACACCGGACTTCCGTCAGACTACCACCTGACGCCGGAAATCCACCTGACCACCACCTGACACCTGAGGTTCCGCAAAACCACCACATGACACCCGGAGTTCCACCAGACCACCACCTAACGCCCCGGAGTTCCGCTGGACCACCACTTGACACCATAGTTCTGTCAGACCACCAATTGACAACCAGACTTTTGCCGAAACACCTCTTGACTCTGGACTTCCATCAGGATCACTGTCTCACACTGGACTTCCATTGGACCACCGCTAAAGTTCTGCTAAACCACAGTCGGACCACCGATTAAGGCCCCAACTTTCACTGAACCACCAATAGAAGTCGGAGTTCCGTCAAACCACTGAATAACACTCAGACTTCCACGAGACCAAAACCTTACAACTACGATATTTTTGACCCCTGTCTCCTGCTGACTATGGACCTTCTAACCTCCATCACCTACTACAGTACTTTCGACCTCCATCGTCAGACAACGATCTTCCTGACCCATGTCTTCTATCGACTACATCCCTTTCGACCACCATTGCCTACTACGACCCTTTCGACATCGATCGCCAGACAACAGTCTTTCTGACCTCTGTCTCCTGTCGACTACGGTCCTTTCAACCTCCATCACCTATTACTGTCCTTCCGACCTTCATTGTCAAACAACGCTCTTTCTGACCCTTGTCTCTTGCCGACTATGGTCCTTCCGACCTCACTTGCCAGACAACAGTCCTTCCGACCATCGTCACCAGACTAGGTATTTCTGAACTCAGTCACCCGCAAACTATGGTTATGCTGACTAAACAAACATTTCAATATGGGTGTCAATTTTGGGTCACAGATCAGGTTTAGGTTGAACCTAGAACTGACCCAGGTTCAAACGGGTCGACCTTAACCCAACCCGGGTAGGTAAAAATGTTGGAAATTCAAACGTGAACCTGACTCGACTGGTTGCCGGGTTGACTCGACAAGACATGCTATTCGTCGGGTTGTTGCCAAGTTAACCCAAACTTGACCCGTTTTTCAAACGGGTCGAATCCGAGAACTTGAATCCATCTGTTTTGGAAACAGACCAGGTCTAACCCGAAATTTCTGGGTCGGGTTCGTGTCGTATTTTCGTTTTGTGTTAAATATTGACACTCCTACATTTCAATATTAATTCTTCCAATTCCCATCATGTAATATGATATACATTTGCTACATCAATCTAAGGTCTTCCCCAAAAAAAAAGGGCCTCATTTGTAATCGACCGCAAAAAAATAGTAGATTTATTTAAATTGGGTCAGACCCCGTGATTTTTCCCCCTTTTTAGGGATTTTTTATATAAAAACCCTGGTGTTTCTCATGAACGCTACACTTTCTCTTTTATCTATTCGTGTGTTGGATCTTCGTACAAAACTAGAACTTTCAACTATATATTTCTCAATCGCCGTGAATATTCCAAGAAGCAACATTTATATATCATATGAGGAGCTTTTGCCACTCAAACGCAATAGAATTTGAATTAGAAATTCTAATAAATCTTATTTTTTTATCACATCGGTCCTGATAAATAAATATTTTTGCCGCCACTTATTCCTAAGTTGCTTTATTCCAAGAAAAAAAAATGTAGCTAAGGAATATCCATGAGCATTACTGGCCTGAAAAGCAGCGCAAGTGGGAGACAGTGAACCAATAAAGATTCTCAGAGATTACATCATTTATCCCTTCTTGCTGAGCACATTAGGAATAGGAGCAAAGCATTAATACTGAAATCCTGTTTGGTTAAGCTTGTTCATTTTTCTTTATTTAGCTTTTGTGGACTGATCTGTCGAGAGGAAAGCGGGCATCTTTAATTTTTATCCAGTTCTAGAAAGTGTTGGGGGGAGATAAATTAATTAATAACGTAGCTCATCTTGATGGATATATTGATCTAAATATAAAAAAATTAATAATTAAAAAGAAGAAAATAATTGTCAAATAACAGTAATCCAAGCCTTTTATTAAAATAAAGTGGTGGATTATGACCTTTCTCTGTTATCTCGAATAAAATTTATTTTTGAATTTTAGGATTGGTGCGAAGTGAAGAACCTCGAAGATTGAATAACTCTTTATAATTTCTGTGTTGGATACTATTGAACTCCTTCAAATGATATCTTTTAGCACGATATAGAGATATGAAACCTTTTTTCACGAAGTAATTGCCATTAGCCAAATAATACTTACATGTAGTATTTTGTTTTGCTATTTTATTTGGATTTCCATATTTAGTTAGGAGCCTTTATATGTAACGATCATACGAACCTTCTGGACTACACATACCATTAGGCTGCTCTAATGCATTTCGATGGATAGTGGCATCATGAGGTGAACCTTCCCAACCAGCTAGAACATAGGTAAATTCAAGTCAAAGTTAATTGCTACTAGCACATTCTGGCTTGGTATAATTTTCTTCCTATAAATGCAGATTCGTACTCCTTAGAAAATATAGCTTTATTATGAGTTTCATCTATGACACCTACACAATCCTATTATAGAAAAGTGCATTAAGAGAAAATAATAGACAAAAGTAATATTTTTTTAAGCCAATAGGCTTTCCAATACCTTAAAAAAGGGCATGAACCTATCATTAGTTTGTATCTTATACGGTGTTTCGAGCAATAGAGACAAAGTCACTTGATGTCACAACTCTCCAAGTGCATGTAAGCCCGCATTCAAGTACTTGCTAATAGTTTTCCTAGATCCTTGAAAATTGAATTGAATTACTCGATTATGAATACTATGGCTGAGTATGATGTAACATAGCAACATGTTCTTCAATGCAAACATGGAGTGTGTTTACTAGTAATCTCCTTGTTCGCAGCAAGTTGCATAAGTTAAAGAAATATTCCCTCCTCATTCGCATCATATTGATACGATCTTAATTAGTACCAAAGTATAGCCTAGAGAGATATGTTCGACATTGCATATTCCACTTAGGATTATATTTTTGTTTGTTTTCTCCCTACCTCATGCATAAGTAGGACTATAACACTCACCGCTGCAGCAATAATCATATGAACAATTGAACGATTTTGATTATCATGGAATCATATGCCATCTGAATCGACTAAGTAATCTTCAACTTCTAATCGTTCATCCATATTTACAACACAAATAAAGACACACTTCATCCATGTTTGTAGAACAAATCCTATACAACATCTCACATACTTTTTGTTTTTTCAATTTGGAAATTTCATTCATATTTATTTTAGAACATGCAAATAAAAGATTACACACATCCTTGACTTCCTGCATACTTGCATAAATAAGCCATGTTGACAAAGTCAAGTCATTTGAACAATTGTTAGCCCTGTGCGAGTCAGCTTGACTCAATCCAAATGTCTAATATATGTTATACAAATTAATTTATCTTTCCATGGGAAAGGTAGCGCAGATCATGAAAGGGAGAAGCAGAATGCATCCTTTGTTGATTCAATAGATGCTTACTCTCAAATACAGTTTCATGCTTTAAAATTCTATCAGAAAAGTATTTTCTTGTAGCGTGCATTGATTTTTCAATATGATCAAATTATCTTGTGTAATTAACAACATAATGATAATTAAATTTATCCTACCAAGACTTTAACAGCTATTACAGAATGATTAATAGCATAAAGAAAATGCAGTTGTTTACTGATGCGAATCATTCCAAAACTAAGGTTTCGTTTGGGACGGCTTTCTTTTTGCTTCTAAAAGTAGTTTTATAGTACACATTAAATTTTTTGTACTAGAAAACAACTTTCCGAAGCAGTAAAAAAGCCGTCCCAAACAAACTCTAAGAGAGCATAGATCATATCATTGTTTACTGTCAAAAAAAATTTAGTATATATGAATGCTGTTAGGATCTTGAATGAGGAAGAAGCCCTTACTTCATGAGCTTCTTGGGAGAGGAGGGAGAGAGGAAAGGAGAGATAGAATAGCAAACTAAATTCTTATTGCTTAGTCATATCCCTATTACAGCTTATAGCCTCTATATATCTCTATATATAGGTAACTAACAGCTACACCAATGACAATACAAGCCATTCAAAAAATCTAAAGAAAGCACACATAAAAACTACATAAATCTTGGATCAATATCCAACATCAACAATAGAGAAAGAAATGACGATGAGTTCTGTTATGGAGAAAGAAACAACGGTCACTTACTAGCACGAACGTGAATGGACTTCTCTCCCTCACTCGTGTCTCATAAAATCCTTTTTCACTCAAATTTGTAAACAGTTTTACTTTACGCTTAAAATGAGCTGAAGCGAAGAGTTTCAAATACATCAGAATTTTAATTTATTTCATGGCGTGTCAAACCAAACACCTAAAAAATTAAAACCCAAATATTTGATTTACTTTATAATAACAAAACTTCAAACCAAACAGCAGCTAAAAAGAACTATCATAAAAGAAGCTGCTAACTAAAATAGAATAACATTAAAAAAAAAAAAGTTTGTCTCAAGACGATGTTTACAGCAATTATAAACTTCGATGTTTGTATCAGAGCTGGTAGAGGTAGAAAGGTTGGCGAGGCAGTAAGCTCCAGTAAACAACCCTGTGTAAATTATACCTCCGTAAAACTCGTTTCCTACGCTGGAATCCATAGTAATTGCTAAATTACATGGTATTCCTTCACAAAAAAGTGAAAAACGGAAGAAAATGTGTTCAATAACAATTAACATTGTTCTGTCAACTATAGTAACATGGTTTTAGTTACAAATTAGATCCTGAAATAAAAAACAATTCCTCCCACAAATGTAGATTTACTTTGTACACAGAGAAGCCTTAGTGCAATCTGGAGTTCTACTCAGCTGCAGCAACTTAAAATATTTTTTTTTTTCTTATGATAACATAGGTAGAGAGCTTCAGTGCTGCTCAGCAAGACTCGTTGAAAAAAAAGATCCCATGACAATGCAGCTTTCTTCCCAAAATCCATTTTACAACAAAAATTTCTTCTCATTGTGCAACTGTAAACAATTGAAACATCTATATGCCCCATCACCATGAGAGCTGGCCTTGCATGGGAAAGATTGTGAAGTCATCCAAATACACACCGAGCTATGGGTATTTCTATGTATCGTTGTGTATTAATGAACAAAATACTACATTCAACATTCTGTACACAGTAATGAATCCCAATACACAACAATACCTTTTCCATGTAAGGAAGCCCTCTCAGCTCTCTCATAAATTCTTCAACAACTTCTGTTTACAAACACCATATCCAGCTTTAGAACTCTCTGCTAAGTAACTTGATACCTTAGGTTTCTTGATGTGGAGGTGGACTTAGCTTCGTCGGGGTTAATTGACCCCTGACCTTCCGATGTGTCGGAGCTACTGTTCTCACCGCCGTATACCTTCCCTGACCACAACTTGCTCAGCATTCTACTAGGCATGAGAACAGACTTCACTTTTCCACCAACTTTATCCTCACAATTCTTGCCTGTGTCACCACTGCTACTACTCTTTTCACTTCCTGTTCCTGCTCGACCAACTAGCTTCATAGATTTAAGAGAGCTGATGTCTCCGGCGGTGGGGACTCCATCCCATTCATCCCTGGTATTTGCCGTTGTCGCTGCGGATCTCGAAACCCCATAGGAGGCAGCACCATTTTCTTGAGGGACAAGTGATTGACCAACACAAGCTATGGAAGATTGTCTCACTTGATGGAAAAAGAGGACCTGTACTACTATTCTAAGGGGAAGTCGGTCATTCTGCACGGCGTGCATGCACGCATCTGGTGACAGTTTCTTGCAGTCCATAAGACTGCATATTTTCTTCTTCTCAATCTTTGTGAGGTCTGGGTGCTCCTGCTCATGCAAAAATAAATGCAAACTTTAAGGCTATGGGTGATGCAAAATGGTGGATGCAGATGCAGATGCAGTTGCCTCTATAGATGGAAACTAATTATGCACAAAATGGTGATAACAAATCCGGATAAATCAGCACTTTGAGAGCAAGATTTACCCTGTTATAATATTTCTTCCGAATTTGAGCTATTCAATACAGATAGGTGTTTGTACAATACGATACGATATTTAATATCATACCAACCGTATTCAATTCGTCCAACGACGAGTGCACGCGTATTGTGTAAAGCCTAAGAATCAAATTTGGAAGAATTAACTATTTATTATTTTAAGAATATACTAGAACTTTTATATAAATCATCAATATAAATAATAAACATTGAAAGTAACTAAAATCATGTACATCAAAATATTTTACTTTTTTTTACAACAAATAAAGAAATCTTTGAAAATTTTGATATATGAAAAGTTTAAAATGTTAGTAAAAATTTCAGAAGACTATACCGTTTAAGCAGCTTAGGCTTTAGTTCTGTGAGTAGCTTCGATTACAAAACCAGCTGTTTATTAAGTTGAAAGTAATAAGCATTTATACTTTATGAAAAACAGTAGAGATAATAGAAGCCCAACATAATGTTGCCATAACGGACAAAAATGGCCTAAAATGGATCCAAAAATAGCTGTTTTAGAACAGAGACAGGAATCAGATCCCAAGTAAACAAAATAGTTTGATTTAAACCTAAATTTTAAAAAAAAAGGCATCAGGGATGTCCATGCACTGCAGATCTTGTTTTCTTAGATGACATGCAAGGCACAAACAAAGATTCAAGGAGGTTATAAAGATAGCAGATAGCTGCAGATTTCTTTAAGATTAGAAGCATACTATGGCAAAAGAATTTCTATGATATGCAAGTGATTACCTTTAGAAACATATCAATAGCGCGATAGAGCCCATCATGAACTGCTCTCGACAAACTCGATGTCTTCTCAGCTATTTCAACAAACTTTGAAATAGGTAGAGCAGGGTCTTTGGCAGTTTCAGCAAGGTACCCATCAATCAGTTTTGCAACAGTGACCGTCGCATTGCTAGAAACTGAACCAGAACACCTACCTTCGAGAAGATCTCCTGAGGTCTGCAGGCTGCTTCGAATATGGCTATGCTGATGCATTAAGAACTCTTCCATGACCTCAAGAACAAGATCAATGTCATATAAGGTACTCCCTCCTACTGGAGCAGGAATCAATAAATCAGCTACTGATGCTTCTTCCAACTGCTGTCCTGTTCTCTTGATCAATTCTTTCCTGCAATTTTCACTGCAATCAAGAAAGCTTGCTGCTTTCAGCAGTTTCAGTAGGAAACTGCACGATACTGATCCTCTCTTGGTAGGAAGTAACCATACAATGGTTTCCAGTGAAGTCCGACACTTCGCAAAATCTTCTCCATTTGTCAAAGTTATTCTGCTGAAGCCCGGCAATCTTCTGTAAGCATAAGCTTTTAAAGCTTCTCCAATTACTTCACCAGATATTCTACCCTTGAATTTTATGGCCATTATAACTTGTTTATAGGAGTCCATTTCAAGCTCACAGAGATCTTCAACCCACCAGTCTTTAGGCACAGATTGTTGCTTAATAACGCCGTTCCATTGAGTATCTACGCCATTTTCCAATGGGAGTTTCTTTCTGTTATATGTATAAGACCATTCTACTTCTGCAGGATCAATAGAAGCCTTGGAAGCTATTGAGTCCAAGCAGCGGCTAACCACCTTGAGGTCTTCTGACCAAGGTTGCAAGGATTTTGAGGTTTGGAGCACGATGATCGAGTCTTTCCAGCTGCGGAAAACACTAGAATTGAGAAACACATCAATCTTGTAGATGAGATTCCCTTTCTCAACAGTTTCATGCATTTCAAGATATTCTGCTGCACAGCGAGCTGCGACAACATTATATGCGTTGAGGGTGACAATCATGCCATAGCAAAATTTCGCGCAAATCTCAAATGCAGCAGGGCCACCTGGGATGTCGGGAATTCCAATCTCATCACTGCTTTCCTCACTTGCGGTGGCGACAACCAACCTCTGAAGGCGGGGACTCTTCGACAAAAGGGGAAACTGCACAGAGAGAAAATGGCAATGTAAAAGCCCATAAAATTATTCATGACAAAAGTTGGAGGCACTTCTTAAAATATGACTGGTGCATAATAGTTCATGATAACATCCAATCCGCCATATATTTCCAAGTAGAAGTATCATTAAATTCAAAATGCTTGGAACAAAGAATGCATTGGAGATGTAAAATAGTGCTAGTAAATTTTCTTGAATTTATTTCATCAATGCAGATTTGATTTTAATCAACATATACCATAGTCTTCCATGACAACTAAGCAAGCAGCCTTCTGACAACAACAAAGAGCAAAATTGGCAACTTGCATCTGACTTTGTGTATAATTTATCTTCCAAGAAGTGAAAATGAACAGCGCTCTATCAAATGCAATAAAGCATAAGGATGAAGTAGTAAATTAAGGCTTCGTTTGGGACAGCTTTCTTACTTCTACTTAAAGCAACTTCATAGTACAAAAATTTTAATTTTTATACTACATAGCTGCTTAAAGAAGCAGTAAGAAAGTCATCCCAAACAAAACATAAGACTAATATGATAAGAAAGTGATTTGTAATCAGGCTTGGGGTTCTATAAGAGAGTTACGAATGCATGAAATTAAGAAAGATTTAAAACTTTCAGATATAATGAGAAGTCATACCATAGAGAAAAATCAGTAATGAATACAATATGCATTAAGATTTCAAACCATATCATTGTTACCTTATGAAGGTAAAACTTGACGTCATCCACATTAACAATAATGTCTGTTGCCAATTCACTAGCAACAAACCTGCAAAAATAAATTACATAATTAACCTCATGATAAACAAAATTGAGATAAAACAAAAAATGAAGTATGCCACAGGTCAATTGTAGAATATGTTTTCTCAATTGATTTAATTGGAATGGTAGATAAAAAGAAAATGAATATGCATATGACCAGGCAAAGTTTGCTCCCTTATAATTACAACAACTGCAACATTAATCGAACAATTTCTTTCAATTCCTTTTCATATATGAGTAATTTGAAACCACAATCTATTTCGTTTAGCATTTCAACAGCGACTTAATAGATTATAACATGCTAGGAAATACCGCATTAAACAAGATTACTCAGTTTCAGCTAAAGCCAACGATAGAATTAAATGACTTGCAAGGCCTAAGAAGCAGGGGGGTGTTGTCAATTCTAGACAATTGGGACCGGGATCACGGTTGGCTTCATTGGCAGATCTCTTTATTAATAAAATTACTTCGGGCAGTATCATTAAAATTACAGAAAAGATATACCATAAAAAGGAACCTTTTCAAAAAGTAGCTAATAATAATTTACAAAATTCTACTCAAGAATTAACTCCATGATACTGCAGATCACCTTATTTCCCGAGCCAAAACATTGCATCCAGGAGGAAAAACTGAAAAATATTATCTATTTACACTCTTAAAACAAGCATGACTTTGAACAAATGATACAAAGCGAGAATTTAATATTTGTTCATCATAATATAGGCAAAAAGAAAAAAAAGGAAATGATGAGCATAATTAGGAAAAGGAGATAATTGGATCTTATCATCAAGCTGACAAATGTCACATGTGAAATGCAAACTAGGGACCCATGCAAGCTTAATTATTATAGTCAAACATCAGAATCAGACACTCATCATAAAGAAAAGCAGAACTATTTCATTTTCTACTTTTTCATCAACTCCAAAATGCCAAGAAGGGCAGTAAAATCACATCAAGATGCAATTGTTGTGCTGTCAATTGTATAAACCACTTGGTGCTCATAAATGCACAAATCATGAAACAATAATAACACACTCAAGAAATATGATGAATCATGGCTATCAACATCCTATATTAAGAAAAATTCATCATGGTATGAAATAGAAAAGAGCTAAAAGTAGTGTTTATCTTATATTTGACTACAATCATGAAGAACAAGAAAGGGTTGAGGAACTTGCTCAAAGCTAAGAAGATCAATTTATTCTAAATACATATTTTAAATTAATAAGACTTTAACTGGACGGCTTTCTTACAGCTTCTTAAAGCAGCATTCAAGTAAAAAACGAAGCTAGAAAGCTGTTTTAAGAAGCAGTAAGAAAGTCGTCCCAAACAAAGCCTTACTTAACAAGAAAAAAGCATGCATGCATTATCCCCAAATAGACACCTTGCTCCTTTATCATCTAAGGATAGTAAAGCCTTTTGATGAATGAAGAAGACTAATCTAGAGATTCTCAGGCTAATACAGTTCTATTCATGGCAAAAAATCAGTGGAATATAACCAGATCCGAGCAGTCCCAAACTCTACCACTTTTGCCAAATCTCAAAATTATACAAAAAAGGTACTGATAAGCAAACGAAGAAAGCAATACTTTAGCACAAGAATCTTGCAACTGGAATTGCCTAAAGGTTGATTTGGTTAATCTAAGGTAGAAAACATGATTTAAAAAATGGGGAATTTATTAAATTTCGCTATTTAATTGGATGAGGTTAGAAATCAATATGGGTTTGTAGCTCTGCAAAGGTTTTCAAAATCACTCAAAAGTGATTATATCATTTTCTTACACCATTCTCCAAAAATGTTTTCTATCTACAAGCAACCAAATAAGTCCTAAGGAACATGCACAACAACTATGATACCTGATATTGTTCCCATCCGACTGAAAGGCGTCAGGCTTTGATCCAAGCTTCATATACTTCATTTTGAAAGAAATTTGCAGATCAGTTTTCAAGTACTGAGACCTCAACACCTCACCACTTCCTTAAACGCAAATCATCAGAAGAACATGAAATCTAATGAAAGCTTCTCTATGGGATCTTATAAAGACGATAAAATAAAATCTCTGCAGGGGAAAAAGATGGAATCTTTGAAGTAGAGATAGTCAGGAAGGGGGAAAATGTAAGGAACGATTTTTTTTTCCCGCACAAGCATAGAGAATTGGAATTTAGGGTTTAAAGAGTCAAAGCTGCAAGCGTTGGTGTTTCCCAAACCAGAGGCAAAACCCACAAAGTCCGCAGCTAAAATGGGCATACACACAGCAGCAAAACCTGTAGATTCGCAAATTATCAAGAAGAGCAGAATGCCCTCAAGCACCAAACTCCCAACTCCAATTTCTTATTACTTAATTTAATTCCTGTTCTTTTATTCATTCTTCTCTTTCTTGCGCTCGTTTTTATAATCACCAGTGACGAGAACAAAATCCGAAAGCCTCCAAATCAGTAGTAATCACATCACCTGAAAAATCAAATAAACAGTTTCTTGGATGAGAAAAGTAGAAGCTGAAGAAAAACGCAGACAAAACGCATCTTTTCAGCACTGAGATAGGAGATTAAGGAGACCAAATCAACGATATCTAATCAAAGAATCTTCAGCAAGTGGGCGAAAATCCAGATCCAAAACCGGAGATAACAAGCAATAATGGCCACAGACAAAGAAACCCATGTGAACACACACCACAGAAATGGGGAAAGCAGAATAAATGGAATCCTAGTCAAAACAAATGGCTGAAATGCGAGGGGGAAAAATCCCAGTTTTTATTCGAGGGGAAGACGAGTAAGAACAACCAAATCCTCACAAAATCAACAAGATTGTAGAGAGAAACACACTTCAGAAAGGCGAACAGACAGCCATGAAAGCCCAAATCAAATCGCAACCAGAAAGAACTCGTCTTTCAGGCTGAGGAAGAGGACCCGAAAGGAATTGAAGAGGGAAAGAGAAAAGGCAAGGAGTGCAGCCTTCGAGAGAGAGAGAAACAAAGAAAGAAGTGAGAAGGATAAACAAAGGAGATCGACCAGCTCAAAAGAGAGAACCTTACCACCATTACAGGTGCCCAATAAGCATCACTCCAGTGAGAAGATGAGAGCAGAGTCCCTCCCTTGCCTTTTCATTGCCCACACCGCTTAGGCTCTCCCTCCTCCCTGTAAATCCACAGGCTTTATATAAGCACCAAAGGAAAAAGGGAAACAAATAAATTATTTAACAAACAAAAGTAAAAAAAAACACACAAACACAGCGACAGTGGCAGTCAATTCCAATGAATCTACCAACATAAGTACAGAATCAGCATACTGTAAGTTACGCTTAAAATAGATTTAAAATTGTTATATTTCGATCGAAATTGATTTTAATTTGACCACTTTCAACTGTTTTTCATAATTTTAATTTTAATTTATCAAAATTAAGTCCAGATAAGAATCTACCAACATAAGTACAGAATCAGCATACTGTAAGTTACGCTTAAAATAGATTTAAAATTGTTTTTTTTTTTTTTTTTGGATATTTAGATCATTTAAATCAAATTCATATCCAACGCATACACAAAGACTCGAATTCTGGACCTCTTAGTTGGAAGCCTAAGCTCTCAACCAATAGGCCAAGAAGAGTTGTGTAAATTGTTATATTTCGATCGAAATTGATTTTAATTTGACCACTTTCAACTATTTTTAATAATTTTAATTTATCAAAATTAAGTCCAGATAATAAAATCAAAATTTGGTCAAAAACTAAAATTTATTTTAATTGAAAAAAAAAATATAGTAACTAGTAAGACCTTCTAAGGATATTTTATCAAAATCATTAAACTTTTAAAACTATAAGATAATTTGTTTATTATTGACAGCACTCAAAATTAATTATTTTAATAAATAATTTAGTATTTTGAGCGTAATTGTTTTTACATAAAAAACTCTTCATATAATTTAATTTTATTAATAAATAAAAATTGAAAAAAGTAAGAATTTTGAAACTACCAAATTAAAAAATAAAATAATAAAATAACAAACTCTTAAATTCAGTATAGATGGAATTTTTTTTTCTTATTTTAAGAATTTCTTCTCAACAATATCTCGTCGCCCTTTTTAAGTGTTCACAACCATCGCGCTGTCTCTTCCAAGTTCCTTCTGTTTCCACGATCAACAGTTGGACTTTAGTCTAATTTAAATATTTTTATAAAATTATTTTAAGAAAATGAATAATTTAATTATTTGTTAAAAAGTTCAAAAAAAAAATTAATAATTTATTCATTAATTTGCTCATTTATTGATATGATGATTATATTTATTTGTTTATTTAACGAGTAAATGTTAAAAGTTTTAATAAAATATTATTTCCATGATAGAAGAGAGGTTTATTTATGTTCAACAACAGGAAAAAAATATTCTATGCGGATGAGGAAACCCGTCCGAATGTCTAAGTCCGCGGCTCAGTACCGCGGTATCGAGCATTAGTACCGGGCTCGGTATGACTGACGTGGCTCATTCTGATTGATACCCGGATGTAGAGCAGTGTTCGGCGTCGCACAAAATAATCTCCGCACAGAATAATCTCTCCAGCAACAACTGCTGTAAGAGCTCTGATTCAATCTTGCCCAACCCGAACCCGAATAATAGTTCAGAATACATTAATTTAAACAAAATGCTAGATAATTTTTTAACTAACAAAATAACATGTACCTTACATATCCAAAACTGCTGCTATACCTATCAGAATTAGGCTTTGTTTGGAACAACTTTTTTTATTACTTTCTAAAACATCTTTTTAGTAAAAAAATTTTTGAACCCAAAATTTTTTTACTTGAAAACTGCTATAGAAAGAACCAACGAAACCGCCCCAAACTAAGCCTTAGCCTACTAGGCAAGGTCCTTTAGTTTTCCTGAAATATAACAATATGAGTATATAACTCAATAGGTCAACTTCTCTCCATAGCCGAATTCAATTCATAATTGTAATATTTTTATTCTAAATTATGATAAAATATAATTTATGCTTCATAGAGCATGACAATATGATGATTTAAACTTATTTGCTAATATGGACGCAAAATGCACGTGTACCAAACTACCAATGCATACTTAAAACTCTCCCTTTCTCGGCGAATTATTACGCCCGGTCACCGGATGTCCAGACATCCAATCAGGTGACGCTACTCACCCAAATACACTGGGTCCCGATGCATTTTAGTGATGTGGCGACACCGGATTGATGTCCGGACGAATCCGGACACCGGACGCTATAATTTGCCCCCTTTCTCACCTCTTACCCGCTTTAGGTAGGTGTGGAGCATAATCAAAACAAAGTAGAATATTTTCAATGCAGAACCATTACAGAGCAAGAATAGAGCAGAGTTGTACGTAGCAGATGTACATTCACTTTGGACCAAAACAAATAGTCAAAAGTGCAATTTTCTTTACATAATAGAGCTACAAAATGTCATAAAATGCACAATAATGCGTATGAAATGTATAACAAAGGAATTTGAGCATGTATCTAAAAAAAAAAAAATAGTTCTATCAAAATTCTCTCAATTTTTAGAAGCCTTCTCAAAAATTTTAAAATATTATAAATTTCATAGATATGGTGTAAAATATCAATTTAACACATTTTGTCAATTACATTGAGGTTTAAAAACATCACGTATATCTTGAATTCTCGGAAATTCATAATAGAGTGTGGAGCATTTATACAAACAAGTTTGGGTGAAATTTTTCTCAAACCCAAGAAAATGCATTTGTTAACATTTCTTTTTTATAAGAATGCTAAAATTTAAATAAAAATAGAGTATAGGTTGCCTACCATCTCGAGTCTGATAATTTTTTTAACTAGCAGAATTGAACATTTTTTTTGTTTTGGACTCCAAGCCCTATCCTTTTCTTTCTATATTTACACCTACTCTCCTTCTATTCTCCCGCAAGGATGCCTAAGAGTAAGAGGTGTGCAAATGAATTAAGATATTTATTATTTTAAAAACACTCATTTTGATCTAGCACTTTGGTACTCGCATCCCCAGCGGCGCTGCGCCGCTCTAAATACTCCAGATTCTTCTATAATATCACAAACATATAGGTTGACACCACAACAACGCCAATGAGCACTGCAACACCTCCCTAAATCCAGCTCTTAAAATAGAGCTCAAGTTCAAAATTCCAGTGTTCCGAGCGCCCGCGGCACTCTCCTCATCATTTTGGTGACTTGAGTTTTCTCTCTCCCAGTTCAACTTCTAGGTTTATCTAAAGATAAATTTAACACTATATGACTCACTTAGGGTAAGTCAATTACTTAAATTTCAAGACGATGGGTGTTACAATATGATATTTAGTTTGTTGCGTAAGAACATATTTATTTTCAATTATTATAACATGGGAACAATTACCATCATGCAATCATTATCACAAAGGCATCTAAGAGCGACGACATATTTGATGTCATAAAATTAGAATGATAGGATGATCATCAATAGGACTATAGGAGCACAAATAGAGTCGTCGTATGAGAGTATCAGAGCATGAAGAGTAACACAATCAGTATTGGCATATGCCTGCGAATGGTGCAATTATCTCAATTAATTTGTTGGATAAGCCATGGAAAAGAGCACAAATATATCATTGATGATAAGTAATCTCTCTATAACCAAGTGTCTTGTTGTGCGCTAAAAAATTTGAGTCGCTAGAGCGCATTTTTCACATTTTTACGTTGTACGAAAATTCAGCACAAACATATAAAAATTGTAAGACCATGGAACTTTTTATGTAGAAAATCCAGAAAAAGAAAAAAACTACGAGCCTAGGCCAGTTGCAAAATCTACTATGTAGTAAGTTATACAAAGATCTTTCCTTCTTCATTGTTGAAGAAGAGAAAGAGTACAAAGATTGAATAATTACACATAGAAACATGACTTAATAATCTTCATAGGAGGAATTTTAGAAAGTAAGTGTCCATAGGCGAACAAATGTACCCAACAGCCATGTCAAATCTTGATAATATTATGGAAATGACAGTGATTGTCGGTGGTAGTAATTGGTTGTTGTTGGTGGCAATAGATGGTCGTTGTTGGCAATAATAGTTGGTGTTTGTCGGCAACGGCGATGGTTGGGAAATGCTAGATAGATTATCCTTCTTCTCTCCTTCTATTTATAAATTTTTTTGAGTGACATGATCAGTAAATTTGGACAAGATTCAAGATAATTTGGAATGTTCTATCGGACGACTAATAGTGATTTCTTTGACCATAGAACTTTTATCAAGCATTTAAATGTCTTAATGATGTCAGAATTGAGTGATCTTGAGCACATTGGATTCAGTCTCATCGAGCCGCGCGATTCAACTATATGCATGTCATATTTGGATAATAATTTTTTATCCAATTAATGCATTTAAACTTTCAAAAAAGCTTCAGCCTTTTAATTTGAGCCCATTTGAACTCATATTGGACTAATTTTGGCGTCATCAAGTTAGTCTTGTCGAAACGTTCAGTTTGACTATAAGTTTGCTATGATAGTTGTTTGACTGATAACAAATTAATTTTTGACAGTTTTTAATTCAAATATGCCTCAAGATTTGTGCCAGATGAATGTAATTTTTGGTGAGGTACCAAGTCTCATAGAATAACTCTATCAAATGAACTTAAACGAAGATATTCTATTGTCTCTATAGTCTTTATTATTAATAGAAGTATGTGATTGGGAATGAATCCTATCATTACTAAAAATTTAAGTGCATTTAAATGTTGTACCAAATTAGACAGGATGATAATTCATAACCGGGCCCGAAAATATTGACCCAAGCAAGATCTTATCAAATCATTCAGCAATCTCGCATTCATTAGCCATACAATAGAAGCTTAATGAAAATGACTATTCTGCCTCCCACCGCAAAGCTAAGAAAATATCTAAGGGATGTTTGGTTGTAATACAAAATTGTGTAAAGTATTCCAGATGGAGGGATTTTGAAAATTCCATCGTTTGGTTGGATGAAAAGAAATGGAAAGTAAAATAAAGTAAATGTAATGTAAATTGTTTTAGTTCATTTTTTAAGTATACAAAACTCACTCAATTTTCAACAAGAACCCTTTACACCATTGCTAGCCTGTTTGACCACCGCCACTGTTGCTACCAACGGGCAACATCATCGTCGGACGTCGCAGCCTGCCAACCACATTTTTTGGACTTTACACTATTG